ATAATACTCCACTGGTGGGAATATTGAATTTGAAAGTATTATTCACACAGGATTTGGAGCCAGATTTCTGAAAGTTTCAGGTTTCTGACGCCATGCCAGACTTAGACACCGACTTTCCTGTCTATAAAATAGAAGCTAAGAAAAGAGAATGGGAACAATCCAGCAGGATTGAACCCCGATTAGATTAAAACCTAGAATTTAGTTCTGAGAATGAGACAGGCAGGTTGTTTATGTTATAACAAAATTCAGACAGTGGAGTGTCATTTCAGTTAAAAAAGAGAAGTTCAAAGACCCAAACTCCTGTTTGATAATGTGATTCCTGTATTATCAGAAGATTTAAAAATTTCACAGGGGAAGACAGTGAGTATGGGCAACACAAAAAGGCCTAATGAATGATCTCACGTAAATCAGTTTCAGCAGGAGTTTTTGGAAGCTTGGTCACTAGAAGTTCAGATATAGACCATAACATACATAATAGTATCAGTGCTAAGACAGGTCCCTCAGAGAGAAATTATTTTGTGGCCAGAGGGTGAAGTCACTAAGATGCAATAGGAGAGAAAGTCACCTGTGAAGGCTGATGGTTAATGCCCCAAGGCTCCTGGGTCTTCAGCAGCAGCATGGACATACATCACTTACATAGATCTCTGATGAAGTTCAGATGAGACATTGACCAAAAAGGATTTAGTGCAGTGGCTGACTCATGGTAAGCAATACATCTTAAGGACTATCATTTATCTTCATGTATCATTCATCAATGTGTCTTAGGGAATATCACTTATTGCAATGATGGTGAGTCACAGAATTATCTCTGGCTTCTTCTAGAAGCTTAGATCTGGGGCTGCCCATTGTTGGTACTCAGGCATATCAGAGTTGAGAAGAGTACAATAGGGCATTTATAATCTCATCACTCTACCGAATTTCTCAGTGCTTTGAGGAGTGAAGCTGGGAAATGCATGAATACCTTCCTACCAAATATTCGGTTGAGGAAATATCTGTTCCTAACATTTATATTGTGTTGGACTGTGGTCCTCACTGTGTGAACCAGCATCTACCTCTTCATGCAGTCATGCATTTGATTGCTTTCTATAAACCATAGTTTTCTGTAGTAATGATCAATTATATATCAATTATTGAATGATCATTCACTATGCAATGGGGCCTGCATTTACTTGGTTATAAAACTGGCAAAAGATAGGGTTAGTATTGTGACATAATAGGTTAAGCTACCAGCTGCAATGTTGGTATCTTATATTACTGCCTCTTGGATTTCCACTGGCTCCACTTCAGACATAATTTCCTATTAATGATCCTGAGAAAGCAGAGACCAACAGCCCAAGTCTTTGGAACCCTGCAACCAAGTGTGAAATCTCAATGAAGCTACTGCTCCTGGCTTCAGCCCGGGTGAGCATTGGCTATTACAGCTATTCGGGGAGTAAGCTAACTGATGGAAGAGCCCTCTTTATATAACTGCCTCTTATTCTATTGTAGCCAAAAGACCGAGAAGGGATCTGTAGCTATCTTTCAAATAAATAAAAACTAATATGTAAAAAAATTGGCAAAAGAGCCACTGGACAATTTGCCTCATTAGAAGGCTTTGGGGAATAGTTTTGAATTGGATTTGAATGCAAATACTGGCTTTCTGCACACTTTTGGAAAATTATTTAACATGTCAACTTTAAGTTTCATCTATAAATGGATCATAGTTACCTTCCATATTTACTTATAAAATTAAATTAGATTTTTCTTTGCTAAATTCCCTCTTGAACTCACTTAAAACAGCCTAGCATATGTAATTAAGTACAGGGATGTGATTTAGCACTGATGAATTTTAAATTGAGATATGGCTGGATGCCTATTTTATTCATCTTCCCCTTCATACATGGACTTTCTCTTTGTGGCTAATGTATAGGTACATAAACAATGTCTCATTTATAATCATGAGCTTAACAACTGCTCTTTTTAATAGCTTCAAAATACTCTTTTATTGCATCAGGACTCTTCAGTTAACCATCACTACATGAGACAACAATGTAATAAAATTGTAATAATTATTTAAGACATGTAAAGATGACTTAAGGAGGTTAAAATTCTGGTTGGAAAAAAGTAATAATTTGCTGTGTTGGCTCTGGGGTGAGGGGAGAAACTTCTGGCTTAATTCTCCCAGAAACTTGCATTACAAAGGAAATAATCTGTCCTACTCTACATTTTGCATCTAGAGACAGAATTTTGCTCATGCTGCCTGTAACAAGCCAAATGAGACTTGTAAAAACAAGAGCATAATACTTTGGTAAATCACAATTAGGCATAATTTGGGAAATTAAGAATGTAAAAATTAAAAATCATGAATATTCAAAAAGAGAATTTCTTACAGTTCTACAAAGAGAGGAGAGTGGTAACTTTTAAAGTGTTATTTCCTGGAGGAAAAAAAAATCCTGTTTTTATCAAAAAGGAAAACTGTGAGGCTTGCACAATGACTTAGTGCAACTATCATAGAAGCACCTATTGATCCCGAGAGTACCACTGAAAACACCATCCTCTGAGTATTCATCATAGCAATCTTGTAAGCCAAATACAGAAAAGCCGATATGAATTCCATTTTCTAAGTGAGCAAATATATGCAAAGACTCATTCCTGCATTTCAGGTGTGAAGTGTACTCCAGGAATTTGATCAGAGAGAGTTGTAAATTTTTATTTGGTTATGTTGGCAAGGGACTATAATGAGCTGTTTTGCTATTACTGCAGAATACTAGTTGTTTCCTATAATCGATTTCTCACTTTTTCAGGGCTCATGACTGTACAGCTAATGAGTGTTTCACGACAGCTATGAGTGACTTTGTGTCTTTGTGCTAACGGGATATCAACAAATGTCACTGTCTTCATCATTAACTCTTTTGTGTTTTCTGGTATTTTTGTTTGTTTTTGTAAAATGGACCTAATCTTGGTTTGCCAACACAAGGGCAGTTTGATGCAGTTTTAAGATAGAAAGAGCCCGAGTCAAGGTCAGTGTTGTGGTGCAGCACGTTAATCCCAATGCCTACAAAATCTGCATCCCGTGAGCACCAGTTTGGGCCACGGCTGCTTTTAGTTCCTTGCTAATGTGCTAGGGAAATCAATAGACAATGTGCCAAATGTTTGGGCCCCTGTTACCCATGAGGGAAACCCAAATGGAGTTCTTGGTATTAGCCTGGCCCTGTCCCATTGCAGCATTTGAGGAGTTAATCAGAGGATAGAAAGACTCTCTTCTCTCTCTCTCTATCTCTCCCCCTTTCTCTCTCTCTCTCTGTAGCCCTGCCTTTCAAATAAGTAAATATTGAAAGACAGGAAGACAGGAAGGAAGGAAGCAAGGGAGGAAGGGTGGGAAGAAGGAAGATGGGAAAGGAGGAAGGGAGTGAGAAGCGGGGCAGGGGAGGGGAGGGCAGGGAAGGGTGGCACAGGGAAGGGAAAGGAAGGAAAGTGAAGGGAAAAGAAAGGGAAGGGAAGGGAAGGGAAGGGAAGTGAAGGGAAGGAAGGAGAAGAGAAGAGAAGAGAAGGGAAGGGAAAAATTTGGACCTATGGAAGACAATGAAACTGACCTACTCTGTTCATTTCTCCTGGACAATTATTTTGTGTTGAAATATAAACTTGCCTTTAGTCAATCAATGTTCTTTCGTTTTTGCTATGTCTACTTAGCTTTTACCTCTAGTAAATGTAATGATTAAATGCATTTTTCTCTGTGATTATTAGAAGGTCTAGGCAACTGAGAAGTCAGAAAACTCAGAACAAGTTATTGAAGTCAATATGTCTAGAGGCACAGGAAAAATAAAACATATAACTAATGTCTTCCTTTGAAGTTTGTTTGTTGGTAGTTAATTCATTAGTAAGTTTTAAAACCAATAGTTGTATAGTTCGGTGGCTAGATTGCATTCCTAGAGTTTTTAAAATATCATTTAAAAATTTTCTGATCTTAAGAGCCATATATTCTAGGAAAGAGACAATAAACAAATAAATTGAAAAAGTGCAAAGAAATTTCTACAGAGTCAGGCCCTTATAATATGTCTCCCCTTGAGTGGGGAAGGAATGGGAGGAAAGGAGGGAGGGGTGGAGAGGGAGTGTTTGTGTCAGGAGAGAAAGAAGAAGCAAGCAACTACACAGGAAACAAACAGGACTAATTAGCATTTACATCCAGTCTCCTAAAGGTATGAAGACATGGAAAGGCTTACAAAATCTGTTCATTAAAGTAGCAGCAGAAAATGTCCCCAATTTGCAGAAAGGTGTGGACATCCACACAAGGAAATAGGTAGAATCCCTAATAGACATGGTCAGAAAAGGTCATCGCCATGACATGGTATAGTCAAACGCTCAGAAGAAAAACATGAACACAATATTCCAAAATTTGCAAGAGACAAATTCCAGATCATCTTTAAATGAATTCACATTAGACTGACCATAAATATTTAAACAGAATTACACAGGCCAAGAGATAAGGGATAGATATAGTACAAGTGCTTACTCAAAAACAACTGCCAACTTAAAATATTTTATTTTAGTAAAGCTCTTATTTATGACTGAAGGTGATATAAGACCATCCAAAATCAGCAAGAACTGAAATTTGTCATAGCATGGACAATCTTACAAATGATATTTAAGTGTGCTGGCATTGTCATAGCAGGTACAGCTGCCTATGACTCCAGCCTGTCATGTAGGTACCATTTCCTATGCCAGCAGCTGCACTTCCAACCCAGCTTCATGCTAATGTTCCCAAGAAAAGTAACAGAAACTGATTCAAGTGTTTGGGCCAGCCCCTACCACCCACATGACAGACCCAGAAAGAAGCTCCTGGCTTTGACCTGTTTCAGCCCTGGGTGTTGTGGAAACTTGGAGAATTAACCAGCAGATGGAAGATATCGCTCTTTGCCTCTCCTTGTAAATCTTACTCAAATAAATGTATATATTTTAAAATGATATTTAAGGATATATTACACACAGAGAGACAATTAGCATGGTGAAAGAATATAAACACAATACTTGCTTAGCACATACACTAAAATTGGAGTCATTCAGAGAAGATTAACATGGCTCTTGCTGAAGAATGACATATATAATCTTGAAGCATTCCATATTGTTATTTTGAAAGTATATTAGATGATGTGAATATTTCAAAGTTCTTACAAGGGATGGATGTCTTGTCCCTAGGGGACATGGCCTGGACTCAAACAGTATGCTGTTAAGAAGCTTGCTGAGGCATTTGAAGCTATTCCCTGGGCACTGGCAGAAAACTTGAGTGTTGACTCCAATGAAGCAAACTGTAAACTTTATAAAGTACATCAAGAAGGGAAGAAAAATTATTGGATTATACATCGAGGCTTAAGTTCCTGCTGTAAAGGACATATTGGAAGCTAATGTTCTGAATACTTACCTAGGAAAATATCCTGCTATCAAAGTGCTTATCAATGCCAGTCACTGTGCTTGTTACAATGGATATGGTTTGGACCAACATGCCAAAACCAGGTGGCAGAACTAAGCCTCTACATGAAAATGAAGACTGGAATGGTGGCCAAAATAGTTGACAGAGTGGCTCCCTGTTCACCATAGATGGAGACTGTATGTGCAGTAGAGATTTATGAACTGTCCAATGTTCCCTTTTCTTAAAGTGAGACATATTTTTTGTTTATATCATCAATGAGATGATGTAATAAAGGTTTTATTATATAAAAGAATGTGAAGGCATAAAACTGCCTAGTAAAAAACAAACAAGAACTCAAAACAAATAGGAGTAATTATAGATAAATGGCATATCCAAGTGAGATCATTATTATAATCAATAATAATAAAAATGAATGTAAACTGCCTACGTCTACAATTAAAAGATACAGACTGGTGGAATGACTGAAACAAGAGACATCTATATATTATCTATAAGATACACACTTCGCCAAAAAGGTACACAAATAATGATAGTTTAAAAATAGAAAGATGATCCATGGAATCAAATTTAAAAATGAGTGGGAATAGCTACAGCCGTATCAGACAAAATAGACCATAAAGCAAAATCATAAAGCAGATACATATGGAAGATGAAGATATGTATGTATATATTTTCTCTCTCTGAAATTGTCTCTCAAATAAGTAAATAAATCTTTTTAAAAAGTCTTACATATAATACAAAAAATGTAAATACCTTGAGTAAATGTAATGAAGGATGTGAAGGATCATTAGAATAAAAATTACAAAAATTTTATGAATGATATGAAAGACACAAAAAAACTTCCATGCATTAAAAGAATAAATGCCACCTTCAAAACGTCCATACTATCCAAGGGGATTGATAGATCCCATGCATTTCCAATCAAAATACCAAGGACACTCATCACAGAGCCAGAAAAAACAATTCTAAAATTCATATGAAAACATGAAAGAACCCTACATATCCCAAAATCTTAAACAATAAAAACAAAGCCAGGCACATCAAAAGACAAGATTTCAAGATTTACCTACAGTGCTGCTATAATTAAAACAACCTGGTACTGGCACAAAAATAGACACGTAGACTCAAGGAACAGAATAGAAACCCCAGAAATTAATCCATGTATCAACAAGCAATTATTCCCAGGGGAAAGAACAGTCTCTTCAACAAGAAAATTGGAACAAGATGTCTACTTATACACTATATAGAAATCCATTCATGATGGACCAGGCATCTAAACTTAAGGTCTGAAATCATCAAATTATTAGAGAAAAATACAGGGGAAATGCTGCAAGAAACTAGCCCAGGGAAAAACCTCTGAGCTAAGACCCCACAAGTACAGGCTTTTAAAGTTAAAGTAGACAAATGGCATCACACCAAGCTTGAATCTGCTGCACAACAAAGGGCATATCAACGAAGAAGCAACTGAAGGGATGGGAGAAGATATCTACAAACTATGCATCTGATGCAGGATTAATATCCTGAATACAAAGACCATATTTTCAAAAAATATCCTAAATATGTAAGGAGCTCAAGAAACTCTACAACAGCAAAACAAACAATCCAGGTAAGAAATTGGTAAAGCATATCAACATTTTTTAAAGGATGAAATATAAATGACCAACATACACATGAAAAAAAGACTCAGGTTCCCTAGCAATCAGAGAAATGCAAATAAAAATCACAATGAGGTATCACCTTGCTCCAGCTAAAATGGCAAGCATCCTATAATCAAAAAGTAATAAATGCTGGTGTACAGAAAAGGGAATCTAATATACTGTTGGTCAGAATGAAAAACGATATAGCCACTATGGAAAACAGGATGGAGACTCAGCAGAAAAGTAATAAATGCTCTACATATTACCTATCACTCCCTCTCCTAGGAATATATCCACAAAAAATGGAATCAGCATATGAAAGAGATATCTTGCTCCCATCTTTATAGCAACTCTCTAATTCAATATAGCTAAGATATAGAATCAATTCAGATGTCCCTCAACTGATGACTGGGTAAAGAAAAGGTGGTATATATATATATTGTGATAAGGTGATGTCATATATATATGATGGATTATTACAGTGCCATAAAACAATCAAATCCTAGATGCATCCAGACGTCATTATGTTAAGTAAAATAACCTAGATACATTTTTTTTCAATTTGTGGGCGTTATTATAAAACATAAAAACTGTGTGAATTTCATATCATTTGGTATGTGGCTATAAATATTTCTTTGCTAAATCATATCATATAAATGAAAATACACTCCTCTAGTCCATGTTGAAAAGGAAATGGAGAGGTGATAGGACTGTTGGAGTATTAGTGACATTTTGTTCTTAATTTAGGTGTCAGTCGTGAGTGTGATCAGAACTTTCATTTTCATACAAAAACTTCATTTATCTTTAAATGTACATGCATTTCTTGGTATGCATCTAATGTTTCAACAAAATGCTGGGAAAAAGTATACATAGGCCTGATACACAGACCTGATAGGCAGCAGAGAGAGGGTCTAAGGCAGAGTGTCGAAAGGCCAGGCCATGCACACCGTTTTAGATAAACTACGGGATATCACACCCAGATTCTATGTGACTTCTGTCTTCCAAGTGTCTCGGGATTGCAATGGATTTTGGTGATCTTTGACATACATCAATTTGCCAAAAGATGGAAATAATGAAATATGCCTCAGCCCTTTAAAATAATTGTAAGCATTGGTTCATAGTTAATAGCTAAGTTTTGGAATAGAATCACAGACATATAAGGGTGTAGAACTACAAGAGAGAACAGCTGAGTGAATGACACAAAAACGAGTAGAAATTTATCCAGCAACAGGCTCAACAAAGAGGTGAAATAGACAAATCTGAGTGTAACTGGTGATTACTCCATCTTTGATCATCACAGCCTACATCTGGTTTTCTTACCCCTTGAGCAGTTATTGCCATTCATGTATTAAGGACCAATCATACCAAAATGAATAAAAGACAGTTCTTTAGAATAAGAAAGAAAGACAAACATTAGGGATTTAAATGAATGCTGTTACAAATATTTTTGGTGGTTCCATCTGTGGAGGACTCAAATACCCGACAACAAGAACTGTTGAGATGATGGAGATTAGGGAGCAAAGGGCGGGTACAAAGAGAAGTCTTCAAATTCCAGTTCTGGGGATGAGAATGAAGCTTAAGTCCACTTGCCACTGGATTTTGATATAAGGCTTTGACATATTTCATACCTTGACTGATACCGTAGGTCAGAAACTGAATAGGACCCATTAAACCAGTTAGTGCATGAAGTGAGGGTATGGGCAGTCTTGGCTGCGGGCTGGGGGTGGTGCTGAAGCAAGCAAAGGAACAAAGACAGAATGACAACTCTTCTGTCGTTTCTTCCATAAAGCCTTTACCAACCACTCATCCTGGTATGGTGGCTTATCATGCTTTGCTTACATTTAACGCTTGTTTTATTCTACTTTGACTCAAACAAGCATGTTTTTTAGTATTAAAAGGTCAACAGGTGGGAGGGCTTCATGGAAATTCATTTTCCTAACTGGTTTTGGGAAAATTCACTTGATTTAAAAGAACAGTTCTTACAGGTAATCAGGTAGGTTAGAACCAATGCACAATTGAAACAAATATAGATGTTGTTTATACAGCATCCCCAAAAAAGTGAGGCATGGAAGAAATGGATGTACCAGAAAAGGAGAAGTTATTTTCCTGAGATATTTATTTAATGAAATAAGGCCCTCAGATAGAGTTTATGGTTCAGGAAAAAGGAAGTAAGAGCCAATCAAGATATCTGAATAACAAGTGAGCTATGTAGAATCGAAAAGTCTCTTATTTTAAAGAATATTTAAAAATGTGTGTGTCTCTGTGTGTGGATGTTTTACCTTTTGCACATATTTATTTCTCTTCTATGCTGACTTCGTTCTTTCAAAACTGCATTCTATGTGGGAAAAGTGAATTAGAGAATTACAGTTACTGAATCTGGGCTGGTATTGGTGGTCTACCTGTAAATTTGCATTCCTTGACATACATCATATGTATTCAGGCTTCATTTGCTTCTAGAGCTGAACATTTACAGCCTTGCCTTTGCTGAGCTCTATACTGATAGCAAATACACTGCTGTTTGTTGAAGCACTAGCCTCAGAACAACCATGCTTCCATTAAGGCCTTTGCATTTATTTCCCTTGCCAGAAAATTCTTCCAGAAAGTGACCATGTATTTATTTTGTTTCTTTGCTCAAGACATTGCTCCAAGTGAGTAGGATCTGTTTTAGAAAAAAGGAAGAAAGGAAGAAAGGAAGAAAGGAAGAAAGGAAGAAAGGAAGAAAGAAAGAAAGAAAGAAAGAAAGAAAGAAAGAAAGAAAGAAAGAAAGAAAGAAAGAAAGGCAAACTTGTTGCCATTTTCTTAGAGGCCAGAACTCTGCCTGGCATGTAGAGAGTGATCAATAAATATTGAATGTATACATACCCGCTGGCCAATAAAATTGAGATCTATGATGCAACTATTCATGTTGGCAAAACTGTTGTATCTACTTTAGAATCTTCTCAGAATCATAACAGGCTGGAGTCTATTTTGTGGGTTCTGATATTGGATACACTAACGAGTCCCTTGGGTAAAGGCAGGAGAATGAACTGGGGAGTACTAGATTGCAACATTTCTGACCATTC